AAAAAAAAAAAAAAAAAAAAAAAAAAAAAAAAAAAAATCTGGCATATTGATAATCAAATAGATAGACATCAAGGAAACCAAGACTGAGTTTTGAGGCCGGTCACAGTCATCAGCCATGAAACACTGACTAAGGAGACAGATTCCAAATATAGTGCATTTAGGAAAATGTTCAATCGGTGCACAGACCTTGCTCCTTCAAGTAAAAAATTCCATAAGTTTGATTTGTATGAAAATAGCTTGAAGTCTAGTTCAGATTTACTAAATTATAACAGAAGCTATGCAAGAAAGGACCCCATTGAGAGATTTGGATGTGGGAGACCACCTAGCTATAATGCTTCCTGTTCTGTACCTGAGAAGGAAGGCTTCATTCATACTGAATGGAGCCCTGTGGAGATAGTCAATGTGAAAAAGTTCTCAGTCATAAGCAAGCCCATATTCAGTATAAGAAAGTTCAAGCCAGAGAGAAACCCAATGTTTGTAGTATGTGTGGGAAAGGCTTTATCAAGAAGTCGCAGTTCATTATACATCAAAGAATTCACACTGGAGAGAAACCATATGTATGTGGAGATTGTAGGAGAGCCTTCAGTGAGAAATCAAATCTCATTGTGCATCAGAGGATTCATACTGGGGAGAAATCCTATGAAAGTACTGAGTGTGGAAGGGCATTCTCCCAGAAGTCACCTTTCATTGTTCATCAGAGTCCACACTGGAGAGAAACCCTCTGAATGTTTTGAGTGTCCAAAAGCTTTCTCCCAGAAGTCACATCTATTTGTTATTATTTTCATTTCTTTTTAGTCACATCTAATTATACATAAGAGAGTTCATATGAGAGAGAATCCCTTTGAATGCAGTGAATTCAGGAAAGCCTTCTGTGAGACATCTCACCTTTTTAGACACCGGATAACTCATACTGGGGAGAAACCCTGTGAATGTACTGAATGTGGGAAGACCTCCCCTCGGCAAACACAGTTCATTATACATCAGAGAACGCATACTGGAGAGAAGCCCTATAAGTGTAGTGAATGTGGGAAAACTTTCTGCTAACAGTCCCACCTCATGGGACATCAAATAATTCATACAGGAGAAAACCCTTACGTGTGTACTGACTGTGGGAAGGCCATTTCTCAGATCTCACACCTCCCTGGCCATCAAAGGCTTCATACTGGAGGGAAACCTTATATGTGTATTGAATGTGGAAAATCCTTCTCTCAGAAATCACCTCTTATCATACACCAGAGAATTCATACAGGGGAGAAACCTTATGAGTGTGGCGAATGTGGCAAAACCTTCTCCCAGAAATCACCCCTCATTATTCATCAGAGAGTTCACACAGGGGAGAAGCCCTATGAGTGTACTGAGTGTGGGAGGGCCTTTTCCCTGAAGTTACATCTCATTCTACATCAGAGAGCTCATACTGGAGAGAAACCCTATGAATGTAGTGAATGTGGAAAAGCCTTCTGTGAGAAGTCTCCACTCATTATACATCAGAAAACTCATCCTAGGGAGAAATCCCCTGAATGTACTGAGTTTGGAATGACTTTTTCCAGAAATCACAGATGATTACACATCAGAGAAGACACTGGGGAGAAGCCCTCCAGATGCAGTGACTGTGGGAAGGCCTTCTGCCAACATGTATACTTCTCTGGGCATCAGAATCCGTATAGGAAACACGCCTTGTATATATGCTGATTGTGGGAAGGCCTTTTCCCAGAAGTCAGTCCTCACTGTGCATGGGAAAATTCACATTAAAGAGAAATGGTGGCAACTTCTCAACTGTAGAATAGACTCATATGTTCCTCAGTACATATGATCTTCCTGCCACAGAATGATCTGGTCAAGCTCTCAGAATGCTTTCAACACCATAAATATGGAATCGATTTGCTCACCCTCAAACTATCTCAGCCCCTTTCACAGAATAAATACATCTGGAAGAATTAGCACTACGTTGGTGTTGTCTGGTCCTTAAATGCTTTATAGAATTCTCCTGTGAATTTATTTGGGCATGGTGCATGATTTGAAGGGTATCTGTTTGTCATCTTTCTCTCTTTCTTCCATCATATTTTTCTGTTTAGATTACATATGCACTTATTTATTTATTTAGAGATGGAGTCTCACTCTATTACCCAGGCTGGAGCACAGTGGCATGATCTCAGCTCACTGCAACCTCTGCCTCCTAGGTTTGAGTGATTCTCCTGCCTCAGCCTCTCGAGTAGCTGGGATTACAGGCACGCACCACCAGGCCTGGCTAATTTTTGCATTTTTGGTAGAGATGGGGTTTCGCCATGTTGGCCAGGCTGGTCTTGAACTCCTGACCTCAGGTGATCTGCCCACCTCGGCTTCCCAAAGTGCTGGGATTACATGCATGAGCCACAGCACCTGGCCTGTATATGCATTTAGATTGAGATATTGATATATCAATATATAGATGTAGAAATATGGATTCTTTGTAATTTTTAAAAATCATGTATTTTCTCAAGGTTTTTAATATTTTTGCATCGTTTTGGGTAAAGTAGTCTCATGATTAATTTCCTTTATACCTGTGCCTATTTCTCCATCATAGTCCTCATAGAGTGTATTTGTGATTTTTTTCCCTCAATTAGGTAAACAAATGCTAATATTTTATTTCTTTTACTCTCCCTCACCTGTATTGCCGTTCTTAGATTTTTGCCATTTTTCTATTTTCTAATTATTCATTTATGCTTTTATTTCACTAAAATCCTTCCATCTGCTTTTAAACTTTTTTCTTTTTCTAACTTCTTTAGTTTAATGTCTAATTAAATTAATCTCTCTTTCTGGTTTATTATGGGTATATTTGGATTATGTATCTTAATCTGAGAACTTCTTTAGACATTGTGGTCCAATCTGAGAGTATTCTACTTTTTAATAGGCAAATCCTATTGTTTAGCTCAATTTTGTTTATAGGTATGACAAATCTATTTGGTCTTAGGACTCCCAGCATATTTCCTGTTGTACATCCTGTTTTCATTGCTTTTTTGTCTTTTGACCCTTCATCATGTGGTCCTGATTTCATTTGTACTGTTTTGAATGTGTTACTTTGTTCCAGGGGATAACAGAGACAGGGAGTCTCCCAAAGAGTTTTCAGGAAGCTAAGCATAATCCGGATATCCTTAATCTTGATAATCCATAGTACCTGAAAGGGGAGATTTTAAACTGCAAAGAAGCATGATGGCAGGCCAGTGGCTATAAATGTTCAGAGGACATCTTTACCTTTCTACTCAGTGCCAAGATTTTAGATGGATGATTCCCTTATCATTTATCTCAGTTCACTTTGTACCTCTACAACAGAATGCCTGGGACTGGTAGTTTATGAAGCACAGAAGTTTATTTCTTACTATTCTGGAGGCTGGGAAGTCCAAGATCAAGGCACTAGCATTTGGGTTGGTGAGGGCCTTCTTGCCATGTCCTCACATGGCAAAAGGCAGAAGGGCAAGCTAATAAGCTAGTGAGCTAACTGAACACTTCATGAATCTTCTTAATCTTCTTTTAAAAGGGCATTGATCCATTAGTGAGGGAGCAGCCCTTGTGGCCCAATCACCTCTTAAAGGCCCCACATCTTAATATTAGTGCATTGGCAGCATCTGAATTTTGGAGGGGACACATTCAAACCATAGCTCAGTCCCTTGGGCAGAGGTGTTTTTATTTCAGGCTTATTCTTTCACTGAAGTTAAAGCCATTTTTGTTCCCAGATTTATGTCAGCAGTCTTTACCCACCTTGAGCAGGCCATGTTCTTGAGAATTGCAGCTTCAGTAATCTTGGTTTGGCAGATACTCTCAAAGTGAAGGGGTAGCAGTAGTGGATGCTATGGTCTGAACATTTGTATACTCCCCAAATTCATATTTTGAAACCTAATTACCAATGAAAATAGTTCCTGCTTTGTGGATACATGGGTAATAAAAGGTGATATATATATATAGAGAGAGATATGTTTTTGCTGTGTGTGTGTTTCTGTGTGTATAAATATTCATCCTCTGGTGATGGTATGGATGAAAGTAAACCAAGATAGGGAACAAGGAATCACCTGTGGATATGGGGTGGGCAGTAAGCAAAGTCTGTTAGGATCTGTTTCAAGTCAGATCATCATGTATAGGTTGGGTTGGGAATCAGAAGTTAGATTATCGAGGATTTTCCTTGTCCGTTTATAGAGGCTTTTCCTTTCCTAATGTTTACCTATTTATGTTGTTTACATATTTTTCTCCACATGTAGATCATATTTGTAGGAAGAAAAAAATAAAGACTTTTAGTGGAAGAGTGTAGGAGAAGGAATTTGCCTTGAGTTGGTCACGAACTCACAAACAGAGAAAACAGCAAAGAAGCCATGGAAAACCAGGAAATCCCACTCTCTGCTCTGCAAGCATCTACCAGAAAAATTTAAAAACAGTTTCATTGGGAGAATCCTGAGGTGAAAATCACTACTGGCTTTCAGAAAGAACCAACAATCACATTTCTTAGGCCTAAGTGCCTGGATTTTTT